CTCTATTAATGTCATTGGCTGAGCACAGAAATCCTACGATGAAATAAACAGAAAGCAAAAAAAACAAAAGACTGGAATGAGTCGCAAGTTAATGCATTCGGGAAAGAGAGAAGAAAAATGTTTTATCGATAAAGCTTGAAATAAATTGATGATCATAGCACAGCGGTCGATTAAATGCTTTACATTTAACCAAAATTGTTCATTTATTTATTCACTCAATATAAAACAATCCTACTGTATACAGCTACAGTTGCAATTTCAGTCATGGCCTCTCTCCACTCTTTCTATCATGAACGATTCATTCATTTCGCACAGGGCACAATGATTCAGATTTGAAAAAAATGTTCAAATAATCCTTGTGCATAATATTTTTCAGACACATTGAAGTAATGAAATTTTTTATTGATATTCTCTAGTTTAGGACTTTTAATGCCTTTAATCTTACTTGATTATTGATTCCTCAAAATATTAAGTCATGAAATTGAGGATAAATAAGTTTTTTTTTACAAATTTCACAAATGTTTATCAAAAAATTTGGCGCACGATAGTAATTTGTATGAAAAATTAACTAATTTTCAATCGCAAATATCTCGCTTCGGGCATATTTGGGCATGTACACATTAATATGGAAGGTTAATTAGACTTTGTTCTTTATATTTAAATAGGTTTGGTAGAAGCGGAAAGACGCGAATTTAACTTATGAGTGTTTAAAGTCTTGGTAAATTTCAAAAAAATTAATCATGTATATTCGCCCAATTAATAGGTTTTCTTTTGGTTTCTTCACACAAACACAAAGTACTAAGCTTAATTAAGCTGGTTATCAGGATTAAAACAAGAAATTTGAAGTGGAAAGGAGAAAAAATTTAAGAAAAATATTTGTTGTCATTTTGTAAACAAATTTATTGGCATCTTAAAATCGAATTTTTGTGAATTAGACAACAAATTGGAATGTGATATTTTTACAGAACATAAAACACATAATGTTCTTTAATCTGGCATTTAAAACATATAGTTTAATTAACTTGTTATTTTTGAATTTTTGAACATTTTTTTCAAATCTGAATCATTGTGCAGGGCAGGCAGGGATGAAATATTAATTTATTTCTCGTGTTTTTTCTTTCACATAATTCATTTCTCATCATCTTCTTATTCCATTCCTTTACGTATTTCCTCGCTCGCTCACTCACTTCAATTCAATCCCATGGATGATTATTGCCAATACATAACGAAAAAATAAAAATAAAAAGCCACTCGATAATAATAATAATAATAGTTTCACTACACGAAATCCATCGATCGACATGAATGTAATTTACTACGGTTGTCGTCATCAAGCGCGTGGGGTGTATCCATAGATTTCGTTGTACATATCGATGCTATGTCGTTGTTTGCTTACATTTCTATTGGATTAAATAGAATGATGAACCCCATATTGGAGCAGAAAGTTGCACTAAAGACTGACTAAAGCGCATTTTCAAAATTATTTCAGTGCTGTACCCGACTTTGACAGTTTATTTTCAACAGTTCCTCACACAGTAAGTACTAGTAAGCGATAGAATTTAATTGAAAATTAATTTAATTAAAACATTAAAGGATCATGGTTCATAATTAAGCCAGGAGGGTCTTTTCCCCCTCTTAAGCATTTTAGACCGTGCTCACGCTGCGGTTCAAAACGTTTAAGGGGGGATAAGACCCTACTGATACTAGACTCTCACATCTTGGAGCTCCAAAGGCTACATCTTAAAAGATTGCTAACTGACCACACGTACAGAACCTAGTTTGCTTCAATTGGTTGACACTGCCAGTAATAGATCCAGGTGTATAACCTAAGCTCCTCAGTGATATTTGTGGATGGGAAACAGACAAAGAATCCTGAATGTCACTGTTATGGAGACTATACAGTGCAGCAGATGGATTTCTGAATGTTTTTAATGAACAAACTGTCAAAATAATGTCTTTAACTTATCTCCCAGGAAAATGTGTAAAAAAGAACATCCATTAAAGGCCTCAATTTTCCTCATTTCTTCTCTCTCTTTTTATCCATCTATTTGTGTGTGCAGGAGTGAACAAAAAAAAACGTGGATTGCACATAAAATTGTGGGCTTCCACAAAGAGAAGCAGCAGCAGCACAGAAAAACAAAATCACAGCAGTGAGTTCCAACAGTTGCCATATAATCAAGTCAATAAATGCCATTAAATCAAAACATCATAACATAAATACAGCATCCTTATTCACTCACTCTGGTTGAACGTACGAATCATAAATTGTTTGATGCTTAATAACTGATTTGATTAAACGGGTGGCAGAAAGTATCAATCAAGCATTTTGCGAAACCAGTTGCGAAGGTTTTGAAATAAATACAAATTAAATTTGCACGCTCTACTGTCTTTAAAAACTCTTTCGAATTTTTTTTTTTATTTTTTGAAGAATAATCTTCTCATGTAATGAGCACGTTTTCGTGATCACATGCAGATTTGTTTGGCCTCCGGACATAAAATCATCTTATTTGAGCGAGAAATTGTTTAAACATTCTCCCAAAATGTTGCGAGACATTCAATTACTCATGTATTATTTTTCTTCTTATGACTTACTTATTTATTGATGGCTATTCGGAAGTGATGTGAGCTATAAGTTAATAAAATTTGAATTGTGGCACTATGGGCCAGAAATGGAAAATTTTTCCAAAAATTATTTCTACAGCTTATATGATAGTCCTTATTCTGCCCTACATTTACGTTCTTAAAACTTTGCCCAAGTCGACAGCGTGTCCGAGATATGGCACTTCAAAGTTGGTCAGACGACCATTTTCACGTTACATTGAAAATGCTCTCACCAGTCACTGGATGAATGAATCTCCTTCAATTTTTTTTTGGTAATAGCTTTAAATAGTTCCTTCATTTTAAGGTATAAACAATTGCAAAAAACTTTGGAAAATTTTGTGAAAAACTTGATTTTTCTCAAAAACCACGTGTTCGTCATACTTCCGTTTGTGTAGGTCTTCACAAGCACAACCAAAGTTACTAATTTCTTTTTTATATTAAAGATTACATCAAAAGCTATAACTTTTGCATACATGTCGTATAATTTTAACAAAGTTTTGGTAGTGAAAAAAATTTTTTTTATAAAAAAAACACCAATTTTTTGACAAAAATCGCTGTAGTGCTCCAGGGATACCCATGGTAGTGGAATTTTATTTCACATTTAGAAAGCTCTCTGGATATGCTATCAATTAATGCAGTAAAATGAACAAGTGTTCTCTTGGCAAAGAGCACTTTTTTGACTCTGAAAGTCGTTTGTCGAGCAAGGTCAAAAAAGAAAAATAATCATAAAAATTTCAGTTTTAAGTAAAATTTAATTTTTTTAAGTTAGATTGATAGATCTTTTTAAAACGCGTCTTTTGAGTATAAATATGTCATAGTTTTGTCAAGTTTCATGATCAGTTTTTTAAAAAAATAGTTTTTTTCAAAAAAAAACTTGAAAAATAAAGTATTTGACTTTAGAATTTCATAAAATGCATTCTTTTTAACATTTTTTTCACTATTTTGTCTAGTTTTGCTCCTCGTTTTTTCCTAAACATAAATCAATAAGAACTTAACATAATTGAAGCCATTTGGAGGTTAAATTGAGTTAAAAATCGTTTAAAATTTTTGTATTTCTTAAATAGTTCTTTACACAAGTATCTAAGATATAAAGTGTTGCATAGTTTTGAAAAGGTATTAAAATTTCCAATATGTTAACATGAAAATTTTAGGAAAATTTTCAAGTAATATAGTCAATTTGGGTAAAAAACGCATTTTATATATGCTAGTTTTTAATGTTTTTCGTTTTTCTCAGCAAAGACTTTATGAAAAACTCTCAAAGTTTGCACACTTATTTGTTATATAAATGTTAATGACTCGTATAAGTTTTGGAATTTTCTATTGAGTTTTTCATGAGTTCTCCAAATCTGAAATTTTCAATATTAAAAATCCTTTTTTCTCAATAATTCCGATTTTTTATTTATAAATAAATATTTTATTTTGTTTCATTTTTCAATATCTTTTCATTGATATGTAACAATCTACGAAAAAAATAAGACTAGCGAGAAATCAATAAAAAAAGTGTCAAAAATTTATGAAAATTCTACGCTATTTTAATTTTTTATCCTTTTCTGGTTAATTTTATTAAGTTTTGTAAGAGTGTTATACCTTTTTGCAAATTTATAGCTTAAGACTTTCATCTGCTTTCATCCATTAAAATTCATATGAGTCAACGATAAGCACAACTGAAGTTAAATAAGCTTCACGTTGGCGACAAAAGACAGTTCCATATGAAGAAAACCAGATATTAATTTTAATGCTATTTGAGCTATAATATTAAACTTTTTCATTTAGTTTTGTTATAAATGTTTCATGTATTTAATAGCAGCCTGAAGATTTAATTTAAAGCTTTTAAATAATTTGATTTTAAAAAATTCAAAATTTTTGGTTTACGTAATAAGTGAATGGCCCCTTATCCAGTCTGAATATTTCAAAAATCAATGTGACAGAACCATAACATACACCCCGATTTCGATGGCTACCAACCATCGAAACGTAGCACAATCGTTTTATTCCCATTAATTTATCATCGATACTCAAAAGCCAACGAGAAAATTAAATCATTTATCCATGACTGTAAAAGCAGCAAAAAAAAAGATGAAAAATAAATAAATAAAGAATGTTCATACAAATGATGAACATAATAAAGTGGACTCGAATGAAGTATTAATTTTTATTTATTCTTCTTATTTTTTTTCCATGCCTTGAATTCGCTCCTCTGTTATTTCGGGGGAAGAAAAAGTAAATTTATTGGCTTCCATCAATGCGTAGCCGAGCAAATAAAAGCACTACAATCACGCTTAACCATGCAAACATGTAATACTCGAGAATGTGTATATATACATTCAAATTATGAATTATGGACGCAAAAGTAATAAGCAATGGAAGAAACTGAAATGAAACAGTAAAACGCAAAGGAGTATGTAAATATTGAGGCTTTATAAATTGTTGATTTTATTCGAGAATTTTTTTATGGAGCGACTTCATCTTCATCTGAGGACGAGTCATCATACATGCAGAAAGTTCCAGAGACTTCAAAGTTTCCAACGACCATTCCTCGACGGAATGACTGGATAAATTCCATAAACTGTGCACCATTTGCATTAATCGGAGAATTAGGAACGTTTCTTGGTTGACTTCTGTCTCTTGGTGCTCGAGTTTGAGATCTTTCACGTGATCTTTGGTTGTTCGACGTTGGATTTGCTTCTTGACGGTTCTGATTCTGTTCCTGACTGCAATTTTGATTACGAGGAGTTTGCTGAGGTTGTCTTGGATTTTGGCAATGTGAATTTTGAGGATTTTCAGTTGGTTCCGTTTTGATATTGCGATTATTCATGCTGAAGCTTTGAAGATTTGCGAAAGAAAATTTTATGAATATGATCTTTTCTAATGTTGCTGAGAAATAAAATTGATCTTTTTATTTGTTGCTGAAGATTAAATTTTCACACCAATAGTGACTTAAAGAGCCACAATCCAAAAATAAAATTTCCAGACATAAGTAGACTCCAATTAATTGCCTCATACCAATCATACAAATCTGTAGCATTTGCACCCGAAAAATTTTATGAATTCTGTTGCTGTGGTTCTTCGTGTTTTCTCTCGCTTTAAACAGCCACAACATTCAGCATAATCCATGTAAAATATATCAATAAATAAATAATAAGAAGATATAAATTTATTAAAAGAATTCCTTTTACTTCTTCTGTTGGCTTGCTGACTATAGAAAAAGAAGCAGCACAAATAAGATGAAATGAGCAAACAGAACATTTGAGAGAAAATTAATAAACTAATGTTATTCATTAACTTTACAAGTCGATGGATATTCATAAATATTTAAAAGATGGAAATTCATTTTTTTGGAGATATGTGGTGGAGTTGATGGAAACGAGGAGAGAAATTGATGTTAATTAATTATACTTTAATGACATGCCATTTGTTTTCATTTCCAATCTGGAAAGGCACAAGCTGCGTTAGAGTGTACACAAATCGGAATCAATTTAATGATTGAAAACATTTTTGTTACACCAGTCCGTACATTGTTTGTTTATGATTAACTTCCAGGTCACGAATGAAGCAAATGAAAATTGTAAGTGAGAATTTCTGGTTGCTTGAGTTCTCAGATTAAGGCATTGAAAACAAAATCTTATTGCGCAGATCTATTTAATCCGATAAATTAATCATGTTGGATTTTCAATTTTTTTTGTGTCAGGGGGTCGGGCGATTCCAATGATTATAATAGTCAAAATTTATTTGTATGGTTTTGCAGAAAATTGAAAGGTTTTGAAATTTACTTTTCACTTATTACGTTCGCATTTTAGGGGGAGGGGGGGGGGGGTTGAAAAATTGTAACAAAATGTAACATAGGGGGGGAAGGGGGGTACATATTGTAACAAGGGGGAGAGGGGGGTGAAAAAGTTGTTTTTTTGCGTAACGTAATAAGTGAACAATTAGCAGCCTTCCAATCAAGATAATCAACCCCCTTCCTGACTAACGAATAGCTCGACATGCTCGTCTCGTAGCTTAAGTAATGAAGTTAATTTATTGTAATTGTCTAATTGAGAAAACGAAACTGAAATTAATAAATTTCATATTTTTAATTGAAACATAAGTTATGACCAGCATAATGAAAATCAATTTAATGCTTGCTGGAAATCTAATTATGTCGTCTTTCAAAAAAGACACCTTTTTGTGCCTCTTGCCTTTTTTATGACCGCAAAGGTTTAAAAAAATTTTTGATAATCAATGTGTGACAAATTGAATTGTCCTACTCCACTGCGGGATGCTCGATACATATGCGTATGTAATCCCTTCTCTGCCCTTATTGCTTATTGCTTGTCAGCTGGAATTTAATATTTTTTAACTCTAAAATTATCAAAATTTCTTCTTCCTTTATGCTTTTTTATGGCAACAATCCTGGGAATTGTTTTGCTTTTTATGACACATTATTTTTTGATATAAATTGTGTCCATAATCATATTTTTGATACCCTTCGTTCTCATCCACAATAACCAACCAGAGAGAAAGAACATGTGAATAACCACAAGTCTGGTATGTTTATTCGTTGTAGTTTTATGACTGACTGTTTGTTTACGACGAGTTATAAGAAGATAAAAAAAAAAAATACAGAAAAAATTTAATTTATGGTATTGAATCTATCCCGCGGTTCCATAATTCATCAATAACTTTTTTTTTCAGCTTTGTTTTGGGTTTCCATCAAATTACACCCAATGTGAAATTAATCAAATGTTATTTTTTTTACTTGTTTTACTCTCACTTATGGATAACCTTAATGTATTTGAATTCTTAGGAAATCTATTCATATCTTAGCTATCATTACAGATTCATTTTCTATTGTTGTGTATTTCTAATTACATTGTCTGCATAACTCTTCCTTTTCAATAATTATCTCGGAATGTTATTTTCAATCTACACAAAAACATCTCATTGGTTGAATGGTCAAATGTTTGATCTTTGACTCTGCACTACCGAGTTCAAATATTTAATAAGTTTAAGAGATTTTACTAAATATGATTTATTTTTGGAGCTTATTTTTGAAGGTGTGAGTTACGTTTTATGTCTGAAATTGCAATTTGTTGTGTAACCAACGATTATATTGTGTAGTTTTGGATTATAAGAACTTATATTGCATAATTATAGTTTATAAGTTCTTTTCTAGAATTGACAAACTCTTGGAATTTTAATTTAGTAGGTTTAAAAGAGAACTTTTGTAAAATTGTTCAAAATGCCTAAAATATCAAGAAGTTTAAATTTGGCTTGTTTTCGCTTTTGAAACTAGTTAAGATCGACTTTAAATCCTTTAAACATAAGCTTAATCAGATTCTAGATTGCTAATTTGTTTTCTATTGTCACAACAAATCTTTAAGATTCTAATCAATCTCAATCCATAATTCTTTAACAAAAATTAACTGGAAGTTGATGTCAACATTTCTATTTGGGATAAACTAAGTGAACTGCTGTCAGTTCATCAAACTGTTTGTTTGTTTGTTGTTAGTATATAAATTTTCATCAATCCTGTAGCAAAAAAACAAAGTAAAAGAGAAATAACATTTATTCAATTAAAGACTTGATCTCATGATTGATTCATTGCATATATTGATTCTTTCAATTTTTTACAGAAACGTCAAGTTTTTCTGTTTTGTACAATGTTGTTTATTGTAATGATTATTTAGCAAAGGAAATATAGACAAGCTCATATAAAAATTGTATTATGTGAGGAGCATAAAGAGATGAGAGAAGAATGACGAAGATGTCGCGTACACAAAAGCTTAAGACGACAATAACGATGTCCATATGAATTGAAATAATCTTCTTAACGTAGAATTTGCATCACAATGGTATATGAAGATGAAATTGAGTGCTTAATGTGGAGCTTTCAATAGTGTCATCGTAAACAAACAAGAATAATACACAATGACCCGACGAGCGCCATTCTAATGGAATTATCATATTTTTTATTAGGTGATAAGCGCATTTTCACTTTTCACGATGGGATCTTCTGTCTGTCTGCTAAATATTTGTTTTTTTGGCGAGAACCAGCGCTCAATATGCACAATCTTTGAACTGGCATGGCACATGCTGTGTGCTTATGTCTCGTTCCTTCTAGTTATGATAATGAACGTCTTTTTGGAAACTTAAGACTTTCATCAAAAATGCTAAAACAAAAATCATCTCTTAATGTGAAAAATAGCATTGGCGAGCAGTAAATTATGTAGAGGAAAGCATTAATTTAATAATAATCAGATGAGTAACAAAAAACCAATTTGGGCACACGACATTAAAAGGCAGATAGATTTCTATCCACAAATCGAATTTCGAGTTGATATCAGATCATCCCATGCCACAATATAATCAAATAATGATCATCATCATTTCTTATGAATCTCAAAAAAATATCTCATATACGGCACTATAAAAAAACACAAGATGAGGAAATTCTTAATATAAATCAAAAAGATCTTTACTTCTTTTCTTCTTTGATTTTTTATACGATTTTTTTTTCTTTAATATTTTTTTATTAGTTGAAGAGACAAAAGTTTAAAATATGTAAAACAATTTCAAGTTGGGTTAGCGTTTATTGTTCTAAGAGGGGACGCATGTAGAGGTTGCAAAGTTTGAAGTGGGTGTCAGTCATTTATTACAGAAAAGATAGAAGTTGTTTTGAGCAATGATGCAAATATGAAACTGTATCTAGTTTACTTTCAATCGAACCTAATATATTTTGTGTTATAACCTAGTTTATCTAGTAATTAAACCTAGTAATCAAACATAGTATATCTAGTAGTCCAACATAGTAAACTAGAAATCCAACCTAGTATATTTAGTAATCCATTTAATAATCGAATATGTTTTATCTAGTAGTCGAACCTAGTTTAAAACAAAAGCTATATTAAAATAGATGATGTTTATAATCACCTGAGTCATCAGATAACGACTCTAAGCACGCTGATGAAACCTGAGACACTTATGCAGGTGTGATCTATGAACAATATGACAAATTCTTATCCACATATAACTCTAATAATGATGCTCGGAAACCAAATGTTTGACCAATAAACAAAAAATAATAATAATAATATTTATAAGATGATGGACATATTTTTTTTTTAAAACAGAAGAGAAGAACAAAAAGAAAGGAAAGAACGAAAAATTGGAGATAAAAAAAATTATGAATAAAATCATCGTAAAAAATATTTTTTCGAAAGACATTTAACCAATTTATTTATTTATCGTTATGGAGAGAATTCTTCAGATCACACTAAATATCGTTTTTATTAAATGAGGAAAAGAATTATAGGAGTATAAAATATTGTATTATATTCTACGTGATTCTTTAAGAGCCTCGTTACTGAAAGAAATTTGAAAAATGTCAACATTTCACTCCATAAATTATTTTGGCATTTGAATTGCTTTTCAATTAGATGGAAAATTATGCATAGAAAATTAATAATATAATCATGATAATTAAGAATTTTATATGATGATGAGCTTTATTATTATAGTTGATTTTATTTATGTACGCAGCATATTGTTTATTGATTGTGTTATGGGCTATGAAATTTGACAAAAATTATAGCTTTGAATTAAAACATTGTCAAGGGTATCGATGCTGTAATGCTTAAGAGTTGGGAAGGCATGAGAAGTATCTTAAGCTTTTTATCAGAGAGACACACAATGCGATGGTTCCTGATTTTCTAGCACAATGCTGTGTAGTATAATTTAATTCACACTGATTAAACAACCTTTTCCCTTCAGTTGTCTTTAAAATAAGATTTATTTTTTTAATCAGCAAGGGTCTACAACTACTCAAAATCTCGTGAGCTCAAGTGACCTACCTATTATCCTGGGCACCAGACTATTATGATTTG